AAAAAAAAAAGGAAAAAGAAAAATGGTGGTACTGTTCCTTATCGGGTCGGGTACTGTTCATAGGAATCTGAGTCAGGGGGCGCAGCCGATGAACAGTAATTGCGACGTGACTCGCCTCGAATTTATAGTCTTTTATAGATGTTTTGCTTGTTGAAGGGAAGGAACAGTAACCTCCAGTGATCCGACGTGCGCGGGGAGTCACTTGCGGGGCAGCGGGTCTGGGGTCGCGCGCTGGCCTTTCTGAGCGACAGGTCGCGCGTTAGCCTTGCCTTCTTATTATACCAGCCCACGTAGGATAGGGTCTTTGTCATTCCACATCCATGACTTCTTTCGGTCCATTACTTTGAAAACCAAGAAGATATGTCATGATCATGGACGGAAGGAAGCCCCCCTATATTTACCTTCCTCCTTTAATTATTTTCAGTTGGTCAACGATCATGTTAATCTTAACGAGCAGCAAAATAGCTCATGCAATGAATGTTGCCCAACAAAAAAATATTATACTGCGATGTACTGATATGACCTGACTCACTCGAACATGACGGTGGCGTTATTAGGTTGTGTCTGCCCATCACCTAATCAAATTGTAGTGCATCGATGATGGAGTACCCAGTCGTTGGCCTACCATCACTAAAAATGACGTTATACTCAAAGGACACATTGACACTACTGCACCCCGGTATTTTTACCCCATTGGTGGCCATACAAAATCCCTGATCGCAGGACATCGGGCTCCCGCTTAATGATACATTGGGGTTGTAGAACATCAACTGAAACTACACGGAAACGCCCACACCACATTCCACACCAACATGGACATAATTGAATTAATTTCTAGTTTGAAACACAAGAAAGAAAAAGTGGGAAATGGTTAGTGATGATAAGAAGATCAGTGTTAGATTACAACCAAATCAAGCACCCCGCATGGAAATCTTGATCCATAATTTCTATAACTCGTGTTAGATTACAAATTTTTAACCCCTTGACCAATAAGTATCCCAAGATTATTTAATTTGCAACACATCATAAGACTATCAGTATTGTACCAGATGATGAGTTATAGGTGGGTGTTGCCTGGAATGCTGCGCATGGAGTCAAGGTGCAGCATGGCGCCACTAGGCCACGGCCGAACGCCTCCCTCGGCGCGACCAAGCTCCACGGTGTCGTCCCCCTCACCGCGGGTGGCCATGACGCGGAAGAAGGAGCCGGCCGTGCGAAGGCACACGCGCAGGCCCTACGTGCGCGATGCTGCCATAAGTTCTGCCATGGTCAGGATAGGCGTCTTCAGCCGCACGACGGGGCTCGCCTGACTTAGTAGAAACGAGTGGGCAAGCGATTCCACCAAGCTAGGCTAGGCTAAGAGCATCTCCAACAGTGATAATCAAATCAGACCCCCTACTTGTCTGTTTGGGTAGCCACCTATTTCAATACTACCCATTTTTTTGTTTCCTCTAGCAGCACTACCTAAAACAGACCATCCAAAACCATACTCCTAGAGAATTACATGTGGGGCCCACATGTCATCCTCTCTCGTGTTCTTCTCGCCGTAGACGCCGGGGAGGTTCGGTGGGAAGGGCTGCACCTGTGAGTTCTGCCAAGATAACTAGCTTTATATTGTTACCTTCGGTAGTTAACAAATTAAGGGTGCAATATTGAACAATTGGATGCATGTGTCTGGTCATTTCATTAATCTGTCCGCCTCCTGCTGCAATTTTGTAGAATCAAACCAACATTATTTTTTCATCATATACACTGAATCCATATCATTGTTGTGAAAAACAAGGAGGAAGCTTAGTTTGATATATGTGATTGTATGCAACAGGTGACACAGCAAGGAGTGTAACTAGAAGCTCAAAGGAAATGAAGAAGGAAGAAAGTAGCATTAAGGAGCCTATTTGAAATCCCAAATCAGTGATATTTTGACCCAGATAATATTGTATTGCTTGATCAGTTTTTCATTTTCGATGCAGACTTTGGTATATGTGATTGTATGCAAGTTTGTAAAATTCATATTGATACATTGATGAATCAATATCATGGTTAGGATCCATAGTAAAATGATCTATATGCATGTCATCATGTGCCAATTGATTTTAGTGACTAGAATCTTGAATTATTATGGCAAGTATTTTTTTTGACAGTAAGCATGTACTTGAGGGTTATCCTCCAAGGAAATCACAACTACCTTGGAGGTCAATGGGAGCCAAGGAATCACAATTTCCTTGGAGTTGAAGGGCAGCCAAGGAAACAACTATTACCTTGGCAGTCTAGATAATTTTCTTGGGGTTGTTGGCCCTCAAGGAAATTAATTTACTTGGTGGCTGTAATATTTTCTTGGCTCTTTAACGAATTAAGTATGGCCCTAATTTTTTTGGCGGACAGCCTCCAAGGGAATCATCCTTGAGGGCTAAAACCACCAAAGAAATTAATTTTTCTTGTCTTCTATTCTTGAATGAATTTGCTTGATGGTTTGTGGCTAAGAATCATTTAATTTCCTTGGTGATTTTGGACACTCAAGGAAATTCATGATTGTGTTAGTGATGCCATGATAAGGTGCTACAAAAATTGAAGGATCTTATCGATATCCATGAATGTGAAATAATAGATTGAACTGACGAATTGGCAAAAATTATCAATTTTACAGGGGTTGTCTCTTGCCTGCTCATGGATTCGGTAGGAAATTCAAAAGCTTGACCTATCTGGAATCTCTGGATCAATACTTGTTTTCAACTTGTCGAAGCATTTTGTCACTTGCTACGTCCTTCCATGTCTCTTATCAATGCTTAGGTATCCACCGCAAGCCTTTCCTCTTTTGAACCTTGCCATTAACGTTAAGGCTATGCCATCATAATGGGCTACAATTTCTTTGTTAGTTTGCCCGAAAACTAGTCGCTTGCTACGGTGTAAGTGTGATAGTTATCCTTTGTTAGTTTGCTCGTAAACCTAGCCGCCCCTCACCATAAAAGTGTGACAAACATCTTTCTCATTGCTTATATATTCAATAATCGTTTGCGAATGGGCTTGTGGACCAGTGGTAGGATTCTCCAGTGGGACACTACCCACTAGAGTTCAAACCCTGGTGTTACACCTTTTTTTGGATTTTTTCCATAAATTTTAGGGCGGAAACCAGAGAGTCTCCTAATCACTTCTTTGCGCGCGTCATCCAGAAATTTTAGGACCTTTTTCTAGATTTTTTCCATAAATTTTAGGGTGGAGACTAGAGAGCCTTCCAATTTCTTTTTTGCGTATGTATGGATACACACGTGTGTGTGCGTATGTTGTGAGTGTGGAGTGTGTGAGTTATATACGTCCAAGTTGTACCCGATCAAAAAATAATAATCATTAAATAAAGAAGACAAAACCGGTCATTCCTAAATCTGACCACATAGCATGCTCAAGCGTGTAACGAGTTTCAGCGTCAACACCCACAATTGCTTTAGTGGGAGCTGCTGTCGGGATTGGAAACGGGATGCCTAAAAAAAATCAATTGATTAGTTTCGCTAATGAATGGAATGGAGTTGCATACGGTTTTTAATTTTTTTAATCTCTTTCTTTTTTCTTATTTCCCCCCATGAGGACTAGGAAGGGGCAAATCAAGAATTTCATTTCGAATTCCTCCTCGTTTTTTTTTTTTATATTAAAATATTCTTCTTTGTTATTGTTTATAAAAGTTACCATTGGACTCCTTAGAATTCGGTATTACATTGTAAAACAATAACTAAACTCTATATGTATAGATCATATTTATATGAACTACTTGGTCTATATATATTGAGGTATTTCGTGTCGTCCGTATAGATCGGGGGCTGTATCTCCGGAATAAAATAAAATACGGCAACCTAAGAGCTGCGACTCTGATTAAAATACACAAATGTTGGAAACTTTATAAAGCTCTTCTCCACTACTCATTCGGCAGGAGAGTTGAACTAAGAAAGGTTCGATGTGTTACAGCAATGCAAGAACATAATAAAATTAAGATTAAAATACACCAGAGTTGACTAAGATCTAGTCTGCTGTGTTGACCGTGGGGAGTCTATTCAATTAGCAGCTGGATATATACAATACATTTCATTGCATTTTGCTGCCTAGATACTCAAGATTTGAAGTCTTCCTGACTTGAGTTTGGTTATTGTAGGATGTATTAGCTAGTGCGCTTGTAATGACCTGGATATCTAACAGTTTTTTTCTGAAATAATCTAATCCTATATCATAATTTGAAAGAGTAGTCTCTGTCGGTATGGTTTAAAAATAAATTATCTGCATCTGTATGTATCATGCAAGATCATAAAGTATGAAGCTTACTTGTCTAAGAGGCCTTCTTTTTTGCAAGATATGGGGGGAATGGATCCACTGGCACTAGCTCATAGACTGCAGCAGGTCAATTGCCATCTCAGCTGCATAATTAAACAGCACCTTGACTTTAGATGCATAATTTGGTGTCAGTGTCATGGTTTACTGCTAATGAGGATCATGTCAGGCATGTGAAGCATAATCGCCCTCTTCTGATTTCGGAATCTCAGGCGCGGCAACAAGCTGCTGACTTTTTCCAAGATGGATCTGTTATGATTGTGCTCTTGTTTTAGTACTTTACTCGAGAAATGTAAACAACCACCTTCCGCAGTGCTAAGTGCTAAGTGCTGTCTGCTGATGAGTGCACTCCAGCTGGTAAACATATTCGGCGACGACGATGGATCAGCTGAAATGGAGCCTCGATCTGAACAAAATCGTCACACTACTTCAGTGAACGTATACGGGAGAAAGAAACCAGCAAATTCGTAACTATAGCTCTACGTTTTAGTATATTCTTCATAAGCACGAGTATTATTCAACAACTCGGTTATAATTATGTACAAATTAAGAGCACTTTCCATCGACAACTAATTAACATAACTCTAAGTGTACAGTTGCTGTATATTCATTCATCGAACAAGGTGCAATTAATTTGTCTACCTCTAACTATCGGATCGCTGAAATGAACAAACATCCTTCTGATGCCTTCTTCACCGATGCGACGATGCCACGGCGGCCGTAACGTCGGTCTTGACCTGGAAGACCTCCGGGTTCCAGTCGCCAGCCGCCACGTCGCCGTCGATGACGAACCCAGCGAACGTGAGGCTGTGCGCGTAGTACTTGTCCACGTCGTCCCGCACCACCACCACCTCCACCCCTCCGTCGCCGGTACCGGTAGGCAACGGCACCACCCTCCGATGGCCGCCGTCCGGCTCACTCATCATGCGTCGAGATCCCGACAACGCACGGAACAACCCCGACCATCGCCAGCTCGGGCGCGCCGCCGACATTGTGCGCAGCACTGCCGACGACGACGCCAACGGCCCGCCGCTCGGTAGCGCGGTCGACGACGCGGTCACCGCGCTCAGTGCCCTGCGGAGGCGCTTGGCCTCGTCGATCTCCCGCCTGAGCCGCTCCGGCAGCCGCAGCGTGAACCGGTCCACCCGATCCTCGGCCGTCTCCGCCTGCTCGTCGTCCCACGACGTGGTGTCCTGTCCTGCCCCAGCTCCTGCTCCTGCTCCTGCAGCTGGAGTTGACCCGTCCACGTTGACAATGACAACCGTGTCGGCGGTGGGCGCGGCGCCCGCCTGGGCAGCGAGGTCAGCGGCCAGGACGTGGCCGGCGTCCGCGACGGCCGGGTCGGAGAGGTCGGCGCGGCAGACGGGGCAGGTGACGTGCGCCGCCAGCCACGCGTCGATGCACACGGCGTGGAACACGTGGCAGCACCCGGGGAGCAGCCGGAGCTTCTCGCCGGCGTCGTCGAACGCGGACAGGCAGACGGCGCACTCGAGCGCGCCGCGCCCCGCCTTCACCGCCCGCGCCGTCGCGTACGTGAGCACCGGCAGCGCCTCCATCGCCGCGGCGTCCAGCCCGGCCCCCGCGGCGCGCCTCCTCCCGCCGCCGTTGGCCGCCGCCGCGGAAGCGAACGCGGCGGCCGCGACGGCGGCGTTGGCGGTCAGGGCACCGCGCCTTCCATGGTGCGTGTCGGCTCCGGAGCAGCGGCGGAGGAAGGCCGAGAAGAAGCCGAGCACGAAGAGCGCGGCGATCAGACCGACGAAGAGGAGCGAGGTGGTGAGGGTAAACCTAACCCCTCCGCCGCCGCCGCCGTCCACGGGGGGTGACGGTGGTGAGAATGCACTTGAGACGGTGGCGCCCGGCGGCGGCTGGAGGAGCTGCGACGAGGCGGGGCTGACGATGGCGAGCAGCACGAGTGCCAGCGGCCGGAGGAATGTGGGGGGGCGGTGAGGCCACGTGCTGGTCGGCGGCGTGGGCGCCATGGATGTGAATGTGAAGTCGTCTCGGGTGCGGAGAGAATGAAACGCGTGGTGCCTGCCTGGTATGGCTGCTGCGTTTGACATTGTTAACGCAGGAGAACCCCAGAGATTGACATGAGTGGTTAGGCCAAAGTCAAACCACCCCCGTTGCATGGCCAGCCGCGTGGTGAGATGGGAAACCAACCCTTTTGCTTTTCTGTGGACACTAGACTTCGTTCTCACGTTGTCCTGACATCATTTGGTTATAAATACTTCATGCTTAGTCTTTGTGTGGTCATTAAGCTTTAAATTTAACCACCATTTTTCTTGTTGTGAGAGCACTTCTAGATAATTGGATCTAAAACATGTAGAATTAGATTGTGAAAGTACTTTTGAAATAAAACCACGCATATCACTTTATGTGTCCAAGCAAACTAAATATTTTGAAGCTACAATGAACCAGTTTAAAGTTTCAGCTGTTTAGCCGGATTTTGATCAAACAAAGTAGTTTTGGCTAGTGGGAGCATGTGATGAAAATATCATTTTTATTATCGTCGTCGTCGTGCTTGAGAGGGAAACATTGGGGTTTTCAAAGCATGAGCTTGGATCACTCTTTATTGGCATTGAATCTATTTTTTTAATCTGATTTAACAATTCATTAGACCCTGGTATTTTATTGGCCATTTTACCTCCCTCAGTTTCCCTTTTTGTATACCAGAAAGCTACAAATTTGAAGGAAAGTCGTAGAGTAAAATGTATGGTCGGTCCTCGGTCTTGGTAGGGACTATCATCCAAGTCCATAAACTCACAAAATGCATGTATGGCTTCCTAAACTTCTAAATGTGTGTCACCTGAAGTCCAAATCACCATAACTCGAGTTAATCTGCTTGCTGACTTCGGCGGGATGACATGGCACCACCAAAGTCCTTAGGTACCTACAAAACAACTTAACAACATCGCGTGAGTACAGGATTATACTCCGTAGGACTTACCCAAATAATATAAAAAAGGGATATGCATTTGGCATTAGCAAGTAATAAAGTTGGATTTGCATAAATGGGATTATGTGCATAAAGTAAATGTTGTCTATCAACTACATCTAAGCATAGCGAGGTATAGTAAGTATGAACATTAAGCATATGGTGGAGCTCGATCTTCCACGAGTTCTTCACAGCAACAAGCTACTCTGAATCTAAAAGTCGTGGGCATGCTTAAACATGGCCTTCGAATGAGCAATATAAGTCAAAACTCTATATAGGTGTATAATTGTACCCAAACGGGGTGCAAAATCAAACCTCCATACCCGTGCATGCCCGAATCAAAACTCTATATAGGTGTATAATTGCCCCTGGCCGCCAAGAAGCCCGCCGCCGGTGCGAGCCTGCAGCACCGGCTGCAGCGTCTGCCGTCCACTAGATCCGGTCCCGGCGCGCCCACATTGTTTCCCCACTGCCGTGGTGTGCCACGAGGAGCAGACCGCAGGCACGGAGACCTCGGAGGCCATGGGCTGGCTCGGCAGGCCGACGCCACCGCAGCCCCCGGCCACGAGCGACCTGGCCGCCGGATCCGGCCGCCACCTACTTGGAGGCGCGGCCACCGGCTCGCCATGGCTCGGCCCAAGCCAGATCCGACCACGAGAGAGGGGCGCCGCCACCGCAGAGCCGCAACAAGCTAGATCCGGTGCCTAGACCTAGGAGCGCCGCCGGCCACTGAGCTCCTGCTGCCGGATGAGGAAGAGGTCGGGGAGGGCGAGGGGGAGGAGAGGAAGCGGTGGGAGGTGGGGAGGAAGGCGCGGCTGCGGCCATTTTGAGCAGTAGTGCCGCGTGCCGCCGCCACCGCACGCCGGACGGGGCGGCGACGGCGGCCGGAAGGGCGGCCCGGGAGGTTCCCTCGGCGGCGGCGGCGCATGCCCCCCGAGTCGCCACGGGAGGGATGACGCGGGGTTCAGCGCACTCTGTTTTACTTGCACATATCTCCTCTCCTACATTTTGATTTCTATTGACTTACCATACAACAAAGTAGTCTTAGGTTTTACATGATCAAAAAGTTATTGCCTTGTATGGTAAATTAGTAACACAATGAGTCAACCAATGATCAAAAGCCATACAACATATTAGTCTTAGGTTTTACATGATCAAAAATCTATTGCCTTGTATGGTAACACAATGAGTCAACTTATGATCAAAAGAATGGAACAAGCCCATCTGCTACAATTTGATTTGCGTTCACCTACCATACAACATAGTACTCTTAGGTTTTATCTGATGAAAAAGCTCTTGCCTTTTATGACAACACAATGAATCAACCAATGATCAAAAGAGTGGTACAAGACATAACAAGTCCACTAAGGATTTATTGACTATATAAGCATAGCATAACAGGGACCAGATAGTCTTTTTTTTTCTCGAACTACGCAGGAGAGCTGCGAGTCATTTCATTAAGATAGAAAAGAAAGTACATAGAGAGGGGGAGAGCCCCCAGACTAAGTACCAAACACACCCCCACACTTACAAAACACTACACACCCAAAACAAGGAAAGACCTGACCATAGAGCACCAAACCTAAGATGGTGCTACAAGCGACCTGGCAAGCAGCTCTTTGAGCTTAGAAGCTCCAGCCAAGCACCACAGGGTGCATTCATTTGTTATGGCCTGCAGGAGCACCTGGGAGTTAGGGAGAACACCTTCAAACACGCAAGAATTTCTATGTTTCCAAATCTCCCAAGCCACCAAAATGATGAGCGAATTTAAACCCTTTCGCCACTGATTTGGAGCAGCTCTAATGACTTTGCCCCACCAAGCTGAGAAGGTAGAGGAGTTTACGGCACATCAACTACCAGATTGAGATGTGAGAAGACCAAAATCCAAATTTGTCTAGTAAAACACAAGACAACAGCAGGTGGGGGCTGTTTCCTGCGCTTGGTCACAGAACAGACATGCCGGGGGTGCTGCAGGCCCCTCCTGGCCAGCCGGTCAGCAGTCCATAACCGCTGTTTAATAGCCAGCCAGACAAAGAACTTGCAGCGTAAGGGAGCCCAACTTTTCCAGATTCTTTTCCATGGGATAAACTTTATTGAGCCAACGAAAAGGGCTTCATATGCTGACTTGCTGGTGTAGATTCCAGATTGGGTCAGCTTCCAGCGGTGTTGATCCGGGGTATCCTGATTTAGATGGACACCATCTAACTGATCCCAAAGTAACAGGTACTCCATCAGGACCTCCACTGAGCGGCCTCCTCTAATATCTGAAACCCAGTGCCTGTTGGAGAGGGCCTGTGCCACTGTTCTAGATTTGACAACTTTCTTAGGAATAGTCTGAAACAGATTAGGAGCAATTTCAGCCAAAGTTTTTCCTTCCAACCATCTGTCTTTCCAGAATAGGATTGTTTCCCCGTTTCCAACAACCGAGACCACTGCCATGTTAAATAAGGCTTGAGCCTTTTGGGGTACCTGGATATGAAGACCAGCCCAAGGACGAGAATGATCAGTTTTTTGAGCCCACATAAGAAAAAAAGGACTGTTGTTACAACTAAGGAATACATTCTATATTGCTAACTTCTTCTTTTCTTTATAATTATAAGACTAAGAAATTCGAGGACACCGGTGGGCATGTTGTCTTCACATTCGTTCTCCTTGCATGTTGTAGTTATCCCAAAAATTGTTTCCTGAGTTCGTATACATCCTGCACATTCATCATTATAGCTAAATGAATAATATTAGCACCACATGTGTTAAAAATAAATAATAACAAATTAAATGTTTATGATATGATATTGACCTGTAATAATGGCAATTGTAGTTTTTCGCCTTTATGTTCGATATGTATATATCTAGGGGACTAGAAGGTCGCACTTGGTGAATTTCGTGTTCTGCATGTGCCGTCCTCGCATCAGTTCGCGGATATCATGACTAAGGGTCTACCTGTACAATTATTTACTGATTTTCAATCTAGTATATACGTCCGTGAACCTCCCACTACGACTGCGGGGGTGTTAGATATGTATATATCTAGGGGCCTAATTGTAAATGTACTGATGATCTTGTGGCTATATATATATATATATATATATATATATATGAAAGCCACCCCTCCCTAATGAGTGTGAGGTGTTTCTCTAATCTTCTACACTTTCCACGAGGTCATGAAGTGTTTGGCTTGCCCACAATGCCATGAAGTGCTGCAGATTGGTTGGTCCACCAGCCATAGGAGATTGTCAGGTGCCTCCCAATTTGTGCAGCTAGTGGTCAGGCCTTGAACCTGCTCGTTATGTACCTCCACCAGTATCACAACAAAACATCTTCCCTCTCCAGTCTCTTCCACCAGGCTTTGCTACTCTAATTCATGTCTCACCAAACTCCCTAGTTGAAGGCCTTATGGTGTTGTATATGGATTCAAGTCAGGCTTTAGTGGCACCTAAACAAGGATTTTATTAGATAGGATAAATCAAGAGATGACTATAACCGAAGTTAAAAGAAAATTCATGAAGTTCAAGAATTAGACAAACTATAAGTTGATTTTACGGCTATAAATAAACATCGTATACTAAAGCATAATTCAGATTCACAATTTCTGATAATTACCAGATCAACATACCATTCAAAGAAACATATGCTTTGCTAGAATTTCATACTATGAGGTGGCCTTTATTTTAGTCCTATCCTATTTGTTCATGTTCATCAACTTAAAAAGGCTTTTTGTACAAGCTATTACTATGTTATATCAATTTATTCACGACTCAATTCGTTCGTGTGTAACAAGAAGCAATTGTATATATCCCATTGTTGTAAAGATATGGTGCTAAGTGTAAATAGATAATCTTAACTCATGCAATACCTGACCAGATACTCACTAATCACTCATCAGGGTGTTGGGTCAATCTTAAGAAATCGCTAGGTGCTGACACTTATCTTGTTCCTGGAAGAAAGGGAATGTTCCAATTTCAATTCTAAGTCCTGGGCGAGGTATAAGAGTTTTTGCATATCTTGTTTTATATGTTTTTTTTCAGATTGCAAGCATTGTGACAT